CATTATTTTTTCAACAAGTAAATAAATCATAAATGTTTTCCTATTTATGTTTCGATAACTACCCATTTTGAAATGTTATGATCATGCTTCTTGCTTGATTAATGAATGTATAAACTGTTTTATCTTGTCATTTCTTTCAGTTGGTTCAAACTCTTTTTTGGAAAACTCCTCCTGCAGTAGATGTGGATTGGAAGAGGAAGGTGGCAGCTGATATGCTGGACAGTCTCAGTGACACTCGTCTCGCACGTTCCATCTGTGCCCAATTTCGCGATCGACTAAAAGCTTCACATGAGCAGTTTCTGGTTTCTCTCCAACACCTAGAGTCTCTGCACTCGGGAAGACTTCAACATACAGAAGAACAAAGGCTGAAGGTTTCTTTTCTGTCATTTAAAGTTTATTCATTTATTAAAAAAAAGTTTCAAGTTTTGAAATTTCCTTGCATCAATTAAAGAAAGTATAGAGACTAAGAGAATGTTGGGTTTAGTAATTGTAAAATAAGACAAAAGGTTCTCTGGTATTTTCTTGCTTTAAGAGTGTTGGGATTTATTTTCTATAAAATAGGACATTTTCTGGTATTTTCTTTCCTGAAAGGATGGGTTAAGAATCAGTCTTCTTTTTTTTGTTTTGCTAGGTAAAGAAAATGCATGCTCCTAAACTTGCAAGATATGCATTAGAATCCACATCACTGAGAGATTTAATACTCTATGGTAAGTCTGGCTGGTTGGTTTTGTTTTTTAAAAAAAAGTGCTTTAAAAAACCATTTAGATCATTTTAAAATACTGTGTTTTAATACAGCAGTGTATTAGAAAAGCTGGAGATAAGAATCTTTTCCCTTTAGCAGCAGTTAAAATACTGTAAAAAAATAATGGCAAATTACAGCAGATAAGGATTTTATTCCCTCCCAACTAATAATGGAAGTACCTAAATAAAAAAAAAGAATTAAATGTTTTTTTTAGGAACATCTCAAGCAATTGGGAGATCAAGTGTTGTAAAAGAGATAAGTATGTGATTTAACATTTGTATTAGTAAATGAAGAAATGATTAAATAATTTGATATTTACCATCAGGTATGCCTCAAATAGGTAGAGAAATTGGTCGAGGGCAGTACGGAGTTGTCTACGCTTCTGAGTCCTGGCATGGATTCGCACCATGTGCATTGAAGTCTGTAGTTCCTCCTGATGAGAAACACTGGAATGACTTGGCCATGGAGTTCTTCTATACAAGGTATTAGGACAAATGTAGTTCAGTTAAAGTTACAAAAAATTGTTTGTTGCTACGGTTAATTCTCGTTTCTTGAAAATATCTGTGTAATTGTTCGTTGCTTACATACCTTATTATAAAGTATTCAAAATGATGAAGTGTTTTATACTCTTGTTTCAATAGTGGGTTTTTAGTTATGATGATATTCTTCCTTGTTAACATTATTTAATAAAAAAAAGTGGGAAATTTGAAATACTTTTACTATAAAACTGTAGGAATATACCAGAACATGATCGCATTGTTCAGATTCGGGGTTCTGTGATTGACTACTCTTATGGTGGTGGAAACACTCCAGCTGTCTTGCTCATCATGGAAAGGTTACAACGAGACCTATATTCTGCTATCAGGTCTGGGTTGGACATAACAACGAGACTCCAGGTAACATCACATCTCCTAACTGTTGAGGCTAAGCTAAACATAACAACATATTAACATATTTACTGCAGAACTATGTATAAGTCTAAATTCTTTAAGTTAATAGTATAGTCATTTTGTAAATCAAATATTGTAAAAATTTATCATTCCCACAACAGTTCTATTCCGTATGTGTATCACCTGTTCGACTGTGGTCTCGTCCATTCCAGTGGTCTCGTCCATTCCATGATACACATATGGAATAGAACTGAGTCGAACAGGCAGTTCTATTCCGTATGTGTATCATGGAATGGACGAGACCACAGTCGATCAGATATGATAAAATGTGTAAAAATTCATTAGTAATAGTTGGTAATTAACATTACTGAAATTTAATTATAACACTTTTGTATCTATGTATTTCTATTTAGAAAAACTGTAAAAGCATGTTTATTGTTTTGTCATATATGTAACAACCTTTGGTACTTTCATTTGTTTTTTCATGAAATAAGACATTTTACAAGGAAACTTTGAGAGTTATTTTAAGAATTTCATTTCTTTTTTTACAGAACTGTTTCACTTACAGACAGGATCTACATATAGATGGATAACAGTACTGGACATAACTTGTTAAATTAAGTGAGACTCTGAATTAATGTTATTTTCAGTACGATATACATGTATACCACATTTTACACTAGATGTTTAAAAGATAGTTTAAAAATTTAAGGAAGTTATCGAGCTAACAAGAACTTTACACGTACTGTAATTTTAATTTCCTTCTTTATATTCTTTCTTTAGATTGCATTGGATGTTGTACAAGGTATAAGATTTCTACATAGTCAAGGTCTTGTACATAGAGACATTAAATTGAAGAATGTATTGGTAAGTTTGTATCTAAGTTGATAGTTAGCCTATCTGTACATAGACTTCAAACTGAAGAATGTAGCTTGATAGTTAGCCTGTCTGTACATAGATATAAAACTGAAGAATCTTTAGTAATG